TATCAAATAAAAATTTTAAAGTTTTCACCCGGATAAATATAATTAAGTCATTTTCATAGTTATACTAGTACATACTCCCTCCGGCCCAGAGTATTTGTTCACTTTCATTTTTACACACCATTCAATGCACTTCTTTAATCCATTTTATATTGTAATTTGTATATTAAAAAATTATAGAAATTATATATTAATAATCTATATGTTAAGACAAATCAAACAAGATCACACATGACTATATTTAGGCTTACACATTGAGAGAATTTGATGAGTCAAAGTGCTTAGATAAACAATTTCAAAAGTCAAAAGTGGACAAAAACTGGGGGACGGAGGGAGTACATTATAGTTTTATTTAATTGAAATCTACATTTGTTAAATTCGAAACGAAACAATTTGAACTTGATGAATACACACGGACAAAGGTGGTAAATCAAAAGTTTCATAAAACAAAAGATGACCTGATTATACTTCATACTCCCTCCGTCCCTAAATAAAGTTCCATTTTTGACTTTTTGAAGATTTAAGAAAGGGATATTTTGGTGTTGACTTTCCAAAAATACCCTTGATGTGATGTGTTAAAGTAAGATGTGATAGGTAGATTATTAGTAAAAAAGTATGATGTGATAGGTAGGGTATGAAAAAGTAAGGGGTAAAAAGGGTTTTTTAAGGGAAAAGAAAAGTTTATTTAGGGATAAAGAAAAAACGAAAGTGGAACTTTATTTAGGGACGGAGGGAGTATTATTTTATCAAGTGAGTAATAAAAATAAGCAAAAAAAAAAATAAAATTTGACCTTGTGAATAATATATAAAAAATGCTAGTCCTGCAGCCATACTCGGATGACGAATTAATGAAATTCATTTTTGGGCATTGTAGGGTTTGTTGGGTGGTTCATCAGTTTCACATTTGCCAAACGCGACACTAAACGATGAAGATGAAGAAGAAGAAGGGTTTCTAGATCTGCTGCATGCACCTCCATTATTAAGAGAGTTTTTTTTTTCTTTTTTTTTTCTGTCGTGTTTTCTTTGATAGTGAAAGGCTTTACTTTACCCTTTCTCTTGGATATGAAATATATGATGAATCGCGTGCATGGCAAAATTTGGTTGTGAAGCTTCTTACCTTTTATATTTTTTTTTTTTAAAAACAAGGGGATTTAATATGGGATCATTGCAGGGCAGGCTATAACCATGGGCAGGGTGGTCCTATGTACAGGGCCCATTTTTAGAGGGGGCCCCATTTATTTATATATAAAATATATGTATATGTATTTATTTATTTATATAAACTCTAAAAAAGGAACACTAACGTCGGAGGATTAAAAATTATGAAATTTGCACTAAATAGGATTAAAAAATAATGACTTTCCTAATGTAAGACTTAAACTTTTTTATTCCATAAATAGGACTCATTAATGACCTAGTGGAAGGAATAATGTCCAGTAATGATGGATATTTAGTTAAATAATGATTACTTGATAATGACCAAAGGTCCTACATTGGGAAATAAAAACATATAGTCCTATATTGGGAAAGTCATTATGTTTTAGTCCTATTTAGATAAATTTCTCTTAAAAATTAGATTGCATTGTATTTAGAATTTATTTGATTTAAGACTACTAATATAATTTTGTGTGTGGATTTGATTATTTGAAGTTATGAATTTGACATTTTACTATTTTCATTACTATAATGCTCTCAAGAATGCTACAAGAACTTCACAAATTCTTAGTTCGCTATCAAACTATGCACTACTTATAATTTATAAGACTATGAATTTCATATTTTATTGTTTTTATTCTTTTAATATTATTTATTGTTAAATAAATTAATTCATAAATGTTATTTCATTATGACACAATAACCTTTTTTCTCTGTATTGTCCAGGGCCACTAATTTCTCGGAGACGGCCCTGGATCATTGCTTTCATATATAAAAAGAAACTCCAAACTCTAAGAACTTGATATGCGGCATTGCTTGCGTGGTATTTTTATAGAAATTGAAAAGAATTAATTTTTTTAAAATTATTCCATTCCATCGTTGCTCCTCTTCCTATAAGGAAATTAAAAAATAAATTAATATTTACTTTCTTTTTTAGTTCTTTCATCTGATTCTATAATTCAAAAAAACTCCTTCCATCCCCTAGGTATTTGTGTCTCTTTGATTTTTTTGGTCAAAATTGGTAAACTTTGATAACAAATTAAATAAAAATGATACTCCGTATTAGATATTGACACAAAAATAATTTTATTAGATTTGTTTTATAACATATTTTCAGAATAATCTTTTATCTAATTAGTACTCCCTCCGTCCCACTCTTTTTGTCCACTTTTATTTTTGCACACCATCCAATGCATTTCTTTAATCCATTTTATCTTGTAATTTGTATATTAAAAAATTATAAAAATTATATATTAATAATCTATATGTTAAGACAAATCAAACAAGATCATACATGACTATATTTAGGCTTACACATTGAGAGAATTTGATGAGTCAAAGTGCTTAGATGAACAGTTCCAAAAGTCAAAACTGGACAAAAAGAGTGGGACGGAGGTAGTAATACACAATTTATATTTTATTTATTTATAGGTCAAATGTTGAAAATGATTTATTGCAAAAAATAAAAAAAGTGGACAAATACTCAATGGCGGAGGTAATATGATTTTTCTTCCCCATATTAATTTAGATTGACGAAAAATAGTGTTTCACCCACGCATTAATATGATCCCCCTTCCCTCCACATCGATTAAAAAAGATTTTTCTCTCCCATATTATTAAAAATTTTAAAAAATGGATTGATGATTAATTCATAAAAAAATAAAGATACAATGAAAATAATTTTAGTTAAACATCGTTAACCGAAAGAAGTAGTTTATGTTGAGACGAAGGGAGTAATTTTTTTAATTAACTTGGGAGAGAGGAATTACAAGTTTGTAGAAGTCTGTATATTAAATTAAACCTACATCATTTATATTTGAAATTTTGTTGGCATACACAATACAAAAACTGTGCTATTTTAACATTTCACAGTATAGAATATTTGTTTCACCCGTGCATGATGACACGGATTGAAATACCTATGTGTGTGGTATGTTTAACAAAGTTAGTTAATGATTTGTTGAGCAACCGTAAGTTTGAATATGGTAATGTTTGAATATTGCAATCATGTTGCTTTTTCTTTTCCTGTATTTTACTTAATACTATGCTTGGATCAAGGAATCTAAAAAGAAAGGAAAAAATGATTTTCACTCACCAAAGTGAGGGGAATCCAATTTTTTCTCTTTTTAATACCTTTTTCTTTCTTATTTTTTTCCTTCTACTTATCGTTTGTTTTCCTTTCTAACCAAACACGCAATATATATCGTACAATCAATTGTACGATGTTTCTCAAACATCTACATCGAGTGTTCAGTTATGAGTAATTGAATGCTCATATTCGAGCAAGTAAATATTCATTCTTGAGCAACAGAATACTCATTTCTCTAAGATCAAGTTATGCTCAAAAATATATACTCCCTCCGTCCGGAAAAAATCTTCCTAGTTTAACATTTCCTCATTTTTAGTGAGGGTTGACTACATCATTAAATTGTCCAAATTACCCTCCTATCTTTTGCTACACAGCCCCACCGTTCTGCCCCAGCCTCATCGGCCCACCACCACACCGCTATCCCTGACCCACTGCCGCCCCACCGCCGCACCAGTGCCATCGCAACCCAATCGATGCCTCACCGCCCACCGCTGTCCTGAGCCGATGCACCAGCGCCATCGCCACCCAATCCCTGACCCACTGCCGCCCGCCCGCTGCCTCACTGCCCACCCACCAGC